CACGGTGCCACGAGAGGAAGCAGCAGCGTGCCGACGCCGGAGTTGAGGAGCAGCATTGCGTCCGGCTCTGTGGTCAGCGCGGGCGCGTCCTTCAGCCGCGAGTGGAGCGTGCCACTGACCGCACGCACGAGCGGCCGCGGCGGCGGACGCTGGTCGGCCGGGCCCCACTCGCGCATTTCTGGGCCGCACAGGATGAGCTCGACGCCGTGCCGCGCCGCTGGTGGCCAGAGGGCGGCCAGGGGCTCGGCGAGGAGCCCGCGCCGTGCAAGCTCTCCCTCCATCGCCTCTCGAGCGCCGACTATCCACAGCAGCAAGCGGCCGCCCTCGCCGCGGCCAGCGCCGCAGCCAACGGTCCCTGGTGGGAGCACGCCGAGCGCAAACGCGATGGAGGCTGCCGTGGTGAGTCGCGCCCGCCGCAGAGCCGTATCGGGCAGGCCGCCGCAAAGGTGCGCCACATCAGGCCAGCCACGCGGCTCACCCACGTTACCGTTGACTGTAGGCAGTGCTCGCCTCCGCCAGTCGCATCGTTGAGCGCTTGCGGGCCGGCCAAACACGTGCGCCTGGCGACGGTCCATTCATGCCAAGCGCGTGCGTGCGCACTGCGATTCGCCGAGTGGCGGCCGGTACAGGGCTGGTTGTTCGCGCCAGCAGCAAGCCAACGGCCATCGCAGCTGCAAAATTCACACCCTCATAGCCTAACCAGTCGCCATGCCGTTTCGGTGCCGCAGCCCCTCTCACGCACCCGCTTCTTCTCCTGGCCACGCGCTCTCAGCACATCCAACTGCGGCTCCTTTTCCATCTCCACGAGCCGAGCAATTCATGCATGATTGCAGAGCAATTGGTTGGCGTGTGGCCGCCGTCGGCCCACGCGTGTGTGCCTCATGGTGGGCCTGGGAGGGGTGCAGACACATGAGGGCAACGGCGCCAGCACCCCTCGCATCCCTCCTCTCACACGGCCGGCCTCCTCCCGCTCCCGCAGGCTCCTTTGGGTCGCACTGAGCTGCAGCCTGTGCATCGACGTCTGTTCACCAAGACTCGTACTCCGGCAGCAACATGCAGAAGCCAAAGCGCTCACGCGACGACAAGGAGAACCCTTCGATCAAGACGTCTCCTTTGAAAAGAACCAAATTATCGGCCTAGCTTTTGGTATAATATAGAAAAAAAACATAAAGAAAAGCCATGTGCGACAATCGCATTGTGTCCGAGGAGGCCACCGGCCAAAAGCGCATGTCTTGAAGGTCCGATACTGGAAGCCCATATAGGCACCTTACACTCCCCCGCAGTATCGCACCTCTTGAGCGACACTACGTTTCCGCAGCTGGGGATTCTCGGGGTAACCCTCTTTGTACCCGTGCTGGCCGGATTCCTCCTCCGAACAAGGTGCTGTCGCACATTGTAAACAAGTTAAGAGCTAGATATGGAAAATGAGCTCAAGTAGAGTTGTTGTAACATCGTATCTTATATTTGTTTTGATTTCCTATTATGTTTTTTTCAATTCTTTTTCCAGATCCTAAACTAAATAAACTAGAGACTCGACAGAGATCGCTGAGTACGATCCCCATTTCAGATTAACGTGAGGGAGCGCGCCAAGCGTATCGATACGGTCGGTCTTGGGCCATGCTCCCGCGCTCCTCTCCCAAGCTTGCATTTTTAGCACTTTTTTTACTTTTTTTTTGGCCTTATAGGCGTATCACCTCGCCCCCGGGGCCTTCCCTAGCCGGGTTGGGGGCGGTCATTTCCCCCCCTGACTGTAGCTGCTGCCACTGTCTGGCGTCTGCTGCCACCCAGAGGACTCCGTCCACGATTGGGAGCAGGCCTGCTCTCACCAGTGTCTCGGACGGGGTAGGTCGGAGGGCGTGCTCTCCCGCTACCGCCTCCTGCGGCCCCACGCGGCCGGCCACGCATGCACCTAGGTTTGTCGCCCAGGCCGGGGCGAGCTTACCTCTCACCGGGTTCGGGTCAGCCCCATCGGTCATGGGCTTGATCTCCACAGGCTGGTCGTATCCAAGCGCCGCTGAGCTGACTCTCTGCAGGTCCCGGCGCAGCTCCTCCTCATTGCCATGGTCTCTCGGCAGCGGGACTATCACGACACCGTCATGCTGAAGGTTGATGACCGCACGGCCCGTCGCGCACGCCCAGTTCCATTTGGCCGTCCTGGAGACCGCCTCCAGTTCCGAAACCACGTCCGATTTGAGCGTGCGCGCCGGGTCGGTCGCCCCCCCAGGCGGGTTCACGTTCGTCTCGTGCAGGTTCCAGTACCCCACAGTCTCGTGTAAGTCCGTCAACTGTTCGGCGAGCCATTGCGTACGGAGTGACTGTTGCCGGAATAGTTCCCGGACGTGGAAGGTCTCGCCCCCCCCCAACGCGATCGGGCCCTCTCCCAGCGACCTATCCTCCGGGATGTCATTACGGGTGCGCCACGCGGAGTACGTGCCATCCATCTCGGTGGCGCAGAACAGGCCTTTGACTGCCTTCCTAGACACGGTTGGCTCCGCTCCTGGGAGGAGGGCCGCTCCCACTGCCACAAGCACCTTCTCCCTGGTCTCCCCCCGGAGGAACTCCGCCGCTAGCTCTCTGTGGACTCCAATCACCGCGAGGGCCGCCCGCGCATGTGCGGCTCCGTCGTCAAAGTCGAGGCCAAAGCGCGCCAGCGCGGTGCTTCGGATGGGTCTCGGGAGCCGGAAGGGGTCCGCCGAAGGGGTTGTAGCGTACTCCCTCCCCCCGGAGAGCCAACCCGCCGCCACCATGGCGTCCGTGCGTCTCCCGTGTTCAAACTCGATGTCCACAAACCCCGTCCGCGGGTCCGGCCCCGGTCTCACCCTCTGGAGAAAAGCCCTCACCACGTCGTGGTGCGTTTGGTTCGCGAAGAAATGCCGGTCTCGCCGAATCACTCTGGCCCCTGCCGCCGACGCGGCGTACGCCTCGAGCGCCCCTATGTCGATAGGGCACCGAACCCTTCGGGTGACCGGCCTACCTTCTCGTCGGATCCTAGCATGTTCCTCCCCCCTGAACATGTCATTGAGCAGCTCGGCCCTTGCCTTCCGCAGCCTTTCCCTCGCCTCGGCCACCTGCTCGTTGGTACATGGCGGCCTCCCCGCCTGCTTCCGTTTTTGGTCCATGTGTCCCAGCCGGGTCACCGCCTGTTGGTACAGCCGCTCCACCCTCCCTCGGGATGGCGTCGCGTGGACCACTACATCCCCGAGGACGCCGAAGGCATGCCTCGCCCTCATCACCCGCGTGACCTCGTCTAGGAAAACCACCGAATCATAGCCAGGCGTGCGGATCCGGGGAGGAGGCTCGTGGCGGATCTGGTTCGGTTCAGCCCTTCCTTCGACTCGTGCCGTCGGCTGTCCCTCCCCCGTCTCTGCTCCTCCCCCGTCTGAGGCTCGCGTGGCTTCCTCCCTCCGTGCTCCCGCCGGCGGCTGGTTCTGCCGTACAAGGCCCCGCAGTTCTTCCGCAACGATCTCTCGGTGTCCGAGCTGGTCACCTCCGCACGATCTGGTCACCATGTCAGGACCAGGGCTCCCGTCGCCGACCCGTGTTCACGGCTAATCTGGGTCAGCGCCCCCACCACTTCGTTCCCCACCAGCTGTTCGAGATCCGATGTGGGGCGGATCCCCGTTGGCAGAGCCCCCCCCCCCTCCTCGTTCATGTCCACTGCCCGGACGTCCCCAAGTCTGAGCCATCTTCGGTACGCCTCTCGGCCCGCCTCCTCCAGGGGTCAGGGCTCTCTAGCCCGTAACCCGATGCCGATCATCCGGCCCGCTGGGTGCGCTTCTGAGCTCCCCGGCCCTGGATGTGAGGTTACCGACTGCACTCCAAGTGCTCCAAGTGCTCCAAACGTCCCCAAATGGGTTATCTGATGCTTGTAGGGCCTCTGAGAGTGGCCTGCCATGTCACAGGAAGGACTGTGGTTGCAGGAGAGTACCACCAACCATCACTTCAGTTGGTATAGTACCCCACCTTCACCCATCCGGTGATTTCTTTTTAGTTTCCCATAAGTAAGGTAGGTAGGTAGGTAGGTAGGTAGGTAGGTAGGTAGGGGCAGGGCAGGGGCCGGCCAGGTTTTTGCAGAATTTCAGCATGGCGGCCGCCGAAGCAAAAATAAACTACAGCTGTTTCCCCCCGCCTTTTCCCACCCACTCCGCTGTTGCCTTTTTAGGTCCGACCTGCTCGCTTAAAATCCGCGGTGTGCGCCGTCCTCCCATCCCTGCCTTGGGTTGTCTGTTTTATTCCTCACACACCCTTCCAAGAGTCGTGATTTCTTGTTGGTTTTCTAAAATCTCTCTCTCTCCCCTTCCAGCCCTGTTCGCGCGGATTTCGTGAACTCCGAGATATCTTAGCATTTCTAAGTCTTAAGCGCCAGGTCTGACGAGCTGGGCTTGTGGCGCTCAGATACCTGGGTAGGTCATGCACACCCTCTGGGCGCTGAGCTGAGTGGAGCGAGCCGGAGGCGCGAGAGTGTCGTCGCCGGCCGCAAGGCATGGACGAGACCGTGTGGGGTCTTGTGAGGTGTCTATGGTCGCCCCCCTCACAGGCTAGCGGCCAGCCGCTATACCCCTAACTCGCACTCATGGGTGACGACAATTCATTGGATGAGTGTTTGCGAGCAGAAGCGCGTGTGCTGAATCTAGGAATTCCTAGATCGCACGCCGTGTGGTGCCGACGATAATCTTGTGTCACGCCTGTCCTCCTTGTTCGGCTCTGCCGAACAGCGAGCGTGCGGCAGCCGCTCTGGTTTTTTGGACCTTACATCTTTGTGCGAGGTAGTGCGACCCTAGCTCGAGCTCCCCGTCGCGGCACTGTCCCTGAGTGCGTCCCGCCTTGGCGGCACGCATTCGGCGAGGACAGTCCTGCTGACGGGAACGTGTCGCGCGCCGGCGACCATTGCGGCGGGGTGGTTGCGCTCACATAACATAGTCTTGTGACTCGCTCTTCACACCTTGGCACGCCGAGGGGGACAGCATCAGCCTCGATTTGCAAACACCTTGAATTGCAAGCTCGTGGCCTCGATCCAAATGGCGTCACCAATGGCACCGCCCTCCGCCCCTCCGCCCATGTTTTATCTCGCCGACATCGGCGGGAACCAGGCGCTCGACGCCTTCTACCTCCTGATCATGGGCGTCTTCGTCTTCTTCATGCAGGTGCGCGGCGCCCCGCGCGCGCGCGCCGAAACGCAGTACTCACCTCCCGATCGCCCTCGCAGTGCGGCTTCGCCTTGCTCGAGGCGGGGACGGTGCGCTCCAAGAACACCAAGAACATCCTCCTCAAAAACCTGCTCGACGCCTGCCTCGGCGCGTTTTGCCCACCGCCTCGCCCAAAACGCGTCCCGGGCATTCTCCCCCCCTCCCCCCCACACATGCGCGCGATCGCCCCTCCCAGGCGCCATCATCTGGTGGGCGTGGGGCATGGGCGTCGCGTACGGCGACTCGGGCACGGAAGACGGCAACGTCTTCATTGGCACCGCAGTCGGCGGGTCCGGCGCCTTCCTCGCCGCCGGCTGGGGCACGCCAGAGAAAGGTGGCTTCGATGGGAGCGACGGGTACACGATCTCGCTGTGGTTCTTCCAGTGAGCCCCCCCCCCCCCCCC